CACTGTGTTATCTCCGACTCCAGCATTTGCAGTTCTTGCTATCCCTGTATTTGCTAAGTGCTACTTTCTTGCAATAACACTTCTTCTCCTCCATTTAATTTGGAAAATGTGCAAGCCTCAATTGTTAGCTGCATTAGATTAAATTCTGTTGATGAAATTGGACATATCGAAGCATTGGGAGAGATGATTGAGTTTAGGTGTGATGTGTAATCGTTGGCTGGTACATTTAATAATCTTCGATCCATGTTTACAAGAATGTTGTGTTTGTTTCTTTTTTGAGTAGCACTTTCTGTAACAGCCTGTGTTAGAACCACAATGACCATGTCTTCCAGCTAACCTGAGGCTTTGGGTCTGAAACATTCAGAGTCCTGATGCAAAGTTGTGGCCTGGGAAGTTGAATCCCCAAATGGGCTATTGCCGGGCTCCTGGAACCCCCCTGAGAGCCACCAGTTTGGAGTTAGAGTCAGAGAGTTTAGGAGGGTTCTTTCTCACTTACCTTAGTAGCTCACCAGGAAGAGTTTGAGGAAGCGAAACCTGCACTAACCCTCCTGGCGGACCATTAAACTGGCACCAAACACGATTCATGACATCCCCTGCCTGCTTCCAAAGCCACTCACTGACTACACCACCCTCCCCTCCTCCCCATACCCCTGCCAGGGACTTGAACCAAATCCAAACCCCTACCCCACCATTCTATTCCCCAAGATCACTATCCTGTGGCTGGACCCACTCTAATAACCTTCAGATTCCTCCTGATCCAATGACCCCACCACCCATCCCTACCCTGACTTAAACACTCACCTGTTTACCTGGCACCCTATCAATCACCCTTACCTACCTGGCATCCTACCGATCCCCTCACCCACCTGGCAGTCTACCTAAACCTCCACCCATGTGAGACCCTACCCACCTGGCACCCTACCCATCCCCTTACCTGTGGGCACCCTACCTCCCCCCCCCCCCCCCCCCCCCACCCACCCACCTGGCACTCTATCTACACCCCCACCCATGTAGAACCCTACTCACCTGGCACCCTCCCTATGCCCCTCACCCACCTGGCACCCTACTTACTCCTGCAGTGTGGCAACTAACATTGACAGAAGTGAGTGTGGTCCCAATGTTGATGCAGTCTGCTCCCGGATGTGTGGATTGCTGGCCTGGCCTGGTCTGCAGCAGCAAGAAAAGCTGACAGTGTGGAGGGTCACATGGGAATCACCTCCAATGGTAAGAGTGTATCGTTTTGCCAGTCAGAGTTGGAAATTGGGTTTCCAGACCTGATCAGATGATCTCTCGTGGCTCCATGTGTCAACATCTCAAAGCCTGACTTTTTAATCTGGTGATTAGGAAGCAAGGCCTAGGTTAGTCACTGTGTCCCTGATCGGCTTCCTGTACTCCCAGCACAACTCCACAAACAAAATCTCTTTCGTTTTTCTCTTTAGGCCAGAAGAGTGACTTCATGACCACAAGGTAGGGAAATGGTCACGGTCATTTCTTTAGAGAACTTTGAAACTGCCTGTTTGATTGCACGCGTGCATCTCTCTGTATGCAAGCCACTGTGTGATTTAAGTGTGATTGCTGTCTGCATGTTCACATGTCTGTGTGTGTGTGCACGTGTCAGTGTCTCTGTCTGTGAACATGTGTCCCTGTGTCTGTGTGTACACGTGTCCCTGTGTCAGTGCACAAGCCTGTTTCTATGTCTGTGTGTACATTTTTGTAAGTCAGTGCATGTACACGTTTGTGTTTGTGTGTGTGTGTGTGTGTGTGTGTGTGTGTGTGTGTGTGTGTGTGTCCATGTGTCTGTATGTACATGCGCTTATGTTTGGGTGGATGTCCATGTATGCACATGTCCATGTGTCTGTGTATTTGCATGTTTGTACATGTGTATTTTGTGCACCTGCGTATACGTTCCCCTCTACCTGTATCTGTGGGTGCACGTGTTATATTGCAGTCTGTTAAAACTGGGACTGTATCCTCTGGTGTATTTAACACTTGATGTATCTGTGTTGCTGAATCCGTAATACAAAATGACTGGGTTTGCAAGAATGTTACATTAGTGCTATTAGCAACTGAGCTCAGAATACATCATCTAATGATATAGGTGTTCCGTACTGGCTTTGCAGCTCACTGTTCCAGTGATTTACAATTATGCTGTAGGACTGAAGGTGAATGCTTCAGTCTTGCTGTTGTTTCATTGTAGGATATTCTGGTTCTTCCAGGACTGTTGGGCAGCATAGAAGTGGCGTGGTTTGAGAGAGACCATATAAAGCAGAGCTAGCTGCCATCAGTGCCCATGTGCAACATTGCAGTGTGTTTTGGAATGATATGAGAAATTGTGTGAGTGGGGGGAAGGTGAGGGAGCAAAGGTTTTAAAACGGGTGTGTATCAAGAAGAGAAGTTCCTGCTGGAAGTGCTCCCACTGTGAATACTGTCAGTGAGTAAGAATTCAAACCAGATGAGAGTAGTCCCATTCACTGAGAGAGGAGGATGTGTCCAAGATACTAGTGAAAAGCTGTTGTGTGCCTTCCATTTGGAATGGCCTTTTAGATATTTATCTGCTCACTTAGTTGGCCTGTTCTGGAGTACTGTGTCTAGTTCTGTTTGTCCTGTTATAGGAAGGATATTATTAACCTGGAGAGGGTTCAGAAAAGATGTTACTGGGAATGGAGGGTTTGAGTTATAAGGAGAGGCTGGATAGGCTGGGAATTTTTTCGCTGGAACGTATGAGGTTGAGGGGTGACCTTATTGGTTTTATAAAATCATGAGGTATAGATAAGGTGAATGTCAGATGTCTTTTCCAGAGGGTGGGGAGTTTCAAGGTGAAGGGGCATATTTTTAAGGTGAGATTAGAAAGATTTGAAAAAGACATGAGGAGCAATTTTTTTTACACAGTGGGTGATTTGTGTGTGGAATGAACATCCAGAGGAAGTGGTGGATGAGGGTGCATTTACAACCTTTAAAGGACATTTGGATAAATACATGAATAGGAAAGGTTTGGACGGATTATGGGCCCAGCGCAGGCAGGTGGAACGAGTTTAATTTGGGATTATGGACTAGTTGGACCAAAGGGTCTGTTTCCATGCTGTACAACTCTGACTCTATAACTCTGGAGGAGTCAGGAAAGGATAATAGATACTAACACTGCGGTTTTATCAGTTAGTGGTCTTCAGTGAATTTAGCTGCCCAGGTTACCTGCCCCTGGTCCATTGCCAGGCAATCTCAATCTGAGTGAGCATCAAGTGGAAATTCTTGCTGAGAGAATTATTATGGTTAAAAACTAAGGAATAATATATTGATTCTAAAGCCTCTTGTGGTCTCCTATTTGTCATATTCTGACCTGAAGCTTAGAGTCAAACATTAAAAAAAACACAAAAGAACTGTAGATGCTGGAAATCTGGAATGGAAACAGATATTGCTGGAGAAACTCGGTAGGACTGGCAGCATCTGTGGACAGAGAAAACAGTTAATGTTTCGTGTCCAGTGACCTTTCTTCAAAACTGATGGGAAAAGGTGGTATTTATGGTGGTAATGAGGGATGGCACATGTGCAAGGAGTACAAGGACAGGTAGAGACGGAGCCCAGAGACAGAGAGAGAGACAAAAAGATGGCTGATAGTAGGCCCGGGAATGAGAAAATTTGATCATGGGAGCGATGAGTAGATGGCAGTGGGGTTGGCTGTGCTGAAAGCAGTCTATGTCATGACAGGGCCTGAGCTGTGGAGATGGTAAAGGATGTGGAAGGAGGTGTTCAAGCCCTAAAATTTGATATAGTCCTCAAGCGGAATCTTTGCTGGCATTGCAAGAGACAAATGACCAGAATGGCATCACTTCATGACCCTCAGATTAAGGAAATGTACAAATTGGGAGCAAGGAGTAGGCCACTCTGCCCCTCAATCCTGCTTTGTCATTCATTAAGATCATGGCTGATCTAATTGCCCCACATTCCCGTCCATCCCCAATACACACACTCCAAAGATGTGCACATTAGGTGGCTTGGCCATGCTAAATTGCCCATAGTCCAGGGCTGTGCGGGTTAGGTGGATTAATCATGGGAAATGCAGGGTTATGGGGATAGGGTAGGGAGGTGGTTCTGGGTGAGATGCTGTTCTGAGGGTCACTGTGTACTCAACGGGTTGAATGGCCTGCTTCCGCACAACAGGGATTCTGTGATTCCATTTGATCCTTTCACCTCCCTGTATTTATCATGAATCAATCAACCTCTGTCTTAAAAAAAAATCAAAGACTCTGCTTTCACTGCATTTTCAGGAAGACAGTACCAAAGATTCATAGTCTTCTGGTGAGGAAAGATTTCTCCTCGTGACTCTTAAAGCCACTTACTTTAAAATCCGTGACCCCTGATTCTGGACTCTCCCACAAGTGGAGCTAACCATTCCATATCCACCCTGCCCAGACTCCTCAGGACTTAATATATTTCAAGTTGCATTCACTTCGAAACACTTTTTTTTATTCATTCACAGGATGTGGGTATTGTTGGCCAGGCACAATTTATTGTCCATCCCTAATTGCCCAGAGGGCAGTTAAGAGTCAACCATATTATTGTGGGTTTGGAGTCACATGTAGGTCAGACCAGGTAAGGATGGCAGATTTCCTTCCCTAAATGACATTAGTGAGCCAGATGGATTTTTCCAAAAATCGACAACAGTTACATAATCGCCGTGAGATTAGCTTTTTATTTCAGACTTCTGTTTGAATCCAGATTTCACCATCTAATATAAATACAGTGGAGTTTGAGGTCACGATAAATTGTGGGTAATGTCACAGGGTAGATCCCCAAGTTAGGGTTCTGAAGACACGGGTTCAAATCCAAGCATGGCATTTAGTGGGACAAGAATATTCTATCTCAGAGTATTAAAGGACAGTAAGTAATCGAGAAATGCTCTGTTGTTAGTTTAAGGGATTATCAGAGGGAAGATATTGCTCTTTCCTCAGTAGACAAACAGATAGCTGTCAGCTGAGGCAGTAACCAGTGAAAGGTGAATAATTTGAGAAAACGGAAGTCGGCATTTTTGTAAATTCTTTAATCATTATCTATGGCACAGCCAGAAGGAGACAACTTTCGATCCAAGTCAAACATTATAACCCCTTTACCTGTTGCATTAACTATTCCTCCATCACCATCTCCTGGCTCAAGTGTTTCTTTACTTTTTACATTGTTTCTCATTGAACTCAATGGTTTACTGAAAATAACAATCATTTTACAGCTCTCCCCTTAACTATTATTTGATTTGACTATGTTTGATTTATTATTGTCACATGTACCTAGGTAGAGTGAAAAGTTTTGTTTTACGAGCAGTATAGATGGATCATACCGTACAAAGTACATTAGGGTAATTGAATAGAGAAATACAATGTTATAGCTGCAGAGAAGGCGCACAAAGAGCAAGGTAAACATTACATTTAAAATTTGAGAGGTCCATTCAGAAGTCTAAAACCAGTGGGGAAGATGCTGTTCTTGAAGATATCGGCATGTGTGTTTAAGCTTTTGATTGGTTAGGCGACTTCTGGAATACTGAGTTCAGTTCTGGTCTCCTTGCATTAGGAAAGATGCTGTTAAACTTGAAAGGGTTCAGAAAAGATTTACAAGGATATTGCTGGGGTTGGAGGGGTTGAGCTACAGAGAGAGACTGAATAGGCTGGGGCTGTGTTCCCTGGAGCATTGGAGGCTGAGGGGCAACCTTATAGAAGTTTATAAAACCATGAGGGGCATGGATAGGGTAAATAAACAAGGTCATTTCCTCAGGGTGGGGGAGTCCAAAACTAGAGGGCATAGGTTTAAGGTGAGAGGAGAAAGATTTTAAAGGGACCTAAGGGGCAACTCTTTCACACAGAGGGTGGTACACATATGGGCCAAATGCTGGCTAATGGGAATGAATTAATTTAGGATATCTGGTCGGCATGGACGAGTTGAACTGAAGGGTCTGTTTCTGTGCTGTACACCTCTATGACTCTATATATCTTCTGCCTGATGGAAGAGATTGGAAGAGAATATGAGCGGGGTGGGAGGGGCCTTTGATTATATTAGCTGCCTTCCCGAGGCAGCGAGAAGTGTAGAAAGGGACAGAAGACCAGGAGGAGGTCAGTCAGCCCTTCAGGTTTATCACATCAGTCCAATTGGATCAGTGGTTTCCTACCACTGTATCTATCTTAGTCATGAAACTCCTAATGCCCTTATTTGACAAAAATTTATCAATCTCAGTTTTGTGGTTTTCAATTGAGCCATCAGTCTCGGCCACCTATCCAGGGCAAAAGTTTCACATTTCCACCCCTCTCTTGTGTGAACTGCTGCTTCCTGGTGTCATCCCTAAATTTACAGGCTCTATTATCAGGGCCATTCCCCTTTTTGTCACTGCACCATTAATGCCCACCCCTAAGTTAAAACCAATTTTCTCAAGCTGTGGGCCCAATGGGATTTTAATGATAAAGAGCCCAATCGAAAGATTAGTTTGTTTCTGTGGAAAACCCAGGTGAAGCAGTTGGTTTAAGAGATCATATTTATTAATAGAATCGCGGGTCAGTTAGGTACCATTTCAAGATTGGACTGATGTTATTGTTCACTCGATGGATTAGAATCTGTATGTATTACATGATAACGCTTTAAAAACAAGGTCATTATGAGAATTGTCCTCAGAGTATTTCCCAATGATTGAGACGTTATGTCAGTCCTGTTTCCTGGGATGCCATGTGGTTTCTGAATTGCACAAGTTAATGTCTGACGACGGAAGAATGTTGACTGTTTTAGTTGCTCCCAGTGACGCACCAAATTCACTGACACTTCTTAAGTTGTTTTCAAACTGTTCCATCCTCTTCTCAGGCCTCCAAATGTGCCCCCTAAACCTCAGAAAGCCAGGAAATCCAGGCCCCGATCAGAATATAATGCTAAGTTGTTTAATGGGGATTTGGAAACGTTCGTTAAGGTACTGGCGTCAAGTATAATGGTAGTGGAGAGCTCTATTTTAAACATCATCGGTCAGAACATAATGGCTTGCTCCTCAAGTTAAACTTTCTAAGGGCACTCGCACTCATTTTGCTGCCCTTTCCTTTGGGACATGAATGTTGTCCGTTTAAATCCAGAGGCTTGAGGGTTTGCCATTATGTTCAGTCCTATCTCTGCTCCTATCTCTGTATCTGTTTTAGAATCTGCTTCCTCAAGTCAAGAATTGCAATGCTTTTTGATCACGGAGAAATCACAGGGAGATATAATTTTTGCGTTAATTTCTCTGTAAGCAATTCAATTTCCCCCTTTGTAGATCACAAAAATTAGATAAATTTGCACTTACTTTCTTGACGTTTTTAACGAGACTGGCACTTCTTGGGTGCACAAACCTATAAGCAGTGACATCCTTGATCTTGAGGAAAACCCCTCGATATTCAAACCTGTTTTGACTGCCTGCTTTGTCTTTAGCCAGAATATAATGGTTTACTCCTTGAAACTGAGTCAGTGGGAGCTAATTTCTTGCAGGTAAATAGCCCCCGGAAGGACTTCCATTATATTCAAGAGTCTTATTGGGGTCCCTAATCTGTATCTTGCACCTTCGCTGTATTTGCTGCTGTCTGTCTCACTATCTTCCTTTTCGTCCTCCGCTGTTATCATTGCTCCTATCAGAGGACGAAGAAACTCTCACACCAGGAACCAGGTACAGTGCCATTGTGAAGCAACTGGGCTTGCCATATGTGCCTGGGTTAACACACAGCAAATGAGCAAATTATAACCCAGAATGTTTGCATCAGTTCAGTAACAGTCATGGGCGTTCCAATTAAAATACCACGCTATTGAAATCTGTCACGTTTCCAAAATCAGGCTCAAACCTCTTGGGTCAGGTCCTATTACTTTGAATAAAGGCAAAATACTACAGATGGTGGAAATCTGAAACAAAGACAGAGGATGCTGGAGAAACTCAGCAGGTTTGGCAGCATCTATGGAGAGAGGGAGAGAGAGAGAGACAGAGTTAACATATCCTTCTTCTAAAGAAGAGTCATACCAGAATCCATGTTAGCTTTGTTTCTGTCTGTACAGATGCTGCCAGGACTGTTGCATCAGGGTCCACATCCGCCCGAGCTGATACTGATATGGAGAGCCAGAAGGCTCTCATTCGCTGGAAAGAATAGCTGCCAAGTTATTCCGAATAAGACTGGTACTTCAAACTTTGTAAAAGTTCCAGTGATGCTTCAAAACTGAACACAGAGGACGTTTTGTCATTCTCTAAGCTGCACGCTTGTTTCAGAAGCTTCTTGGTGGAAAAGTACCTGCATAGCAACAGCTTCTTAAGCAAAAGCAATAATTCCACAGCTGCTGTAAAGTTAAAATAAAAGCAGAAAATCTCGGAAAACACTCTGCAGGTCAGGTAGCCCATTTGGGGAGAGGAGCCGAGTTTTCGTTTCAGATCAACCCCTCCCTTTGAAAATTAAATTTCACAAAGCAGGAAAGGTGGATCAGTGCCAAGTGAGCAGAGAGGAATTGAAAATTGTCCCAATCATTGGACTCTTGCAAACGTTCGACTTCTACGCAGTTTAATTTTCCTACTTGCGTTGCTTCTTTTATTAACAAGCCTTCTAACCCAGATTTATGAGTCAAGTCAAATAAAAAGAATGTCTGTTATCTCATGCTTTTTCTGATTACAGTTATATGAAGTGTAGTTTCGTAAGAAGCCAAAGGATATAATGTCTCCAAGAAGATTGAGGCTCCACTTTTTATTTTAACAAATTGTCATTCGTTTGTCGTTTAATTCCGCAAGGAATGATATGTCATTTTCCTTTTTGTTCCATCTTTTACCCTATATTGAACATCATTCTCCTGCTGTGTGAATGGGCACTTTGAGACATGGAGTCTAGCTCCTTTGCTGTGTTGCCCTGTGCCAGTCCAGTTCGAGCTGGCAGTTGCTGGGCTAAAGCCTCCAATGTGCTAATGAAGCACAGTGCCAACTCTTCCAATAGTGATCCAGTCTGGATCGAGAATGTGCCAAGCAGATGGGCACTTGCCGCACACACCTTGTTAGTGCATGCCCAAGCCTGGGTATCACAGCATTTGATTCTGTGAATAGGTTCTTTGCAGCTCAAATGTTGAGGAAAAGGCCTTACAGTCCACGGCCAAATCCAATGGAGCCCTCTGCAGTGAAGAACTGCAGTGGTTGTAGATAATGCCCATACAGTGTCATGAATCTACCTCAGAAATGAGAAATCAATCTAGTCTATCTGATGATTAAAGACGTGTTGGCAGCAGACACTCTTTATATTTGTATGCTGATCAGACGTGACCTCTGCAGACAATTACAAGGTCCTTCAAATTTCCTTTTCTAGGACTCTGGGCAAGCCATTCCTCTGATTGTGGAAAGTTGTGTGCGATTTATCAACCTATATGGTATGTTCCTGTTAAGATCTTTTTGCCGACAATAAGACATACTTTCCCGAGAATGAAGGCGGTGAGGGTTCACTGGACTGGTTCCTAAGATCAGAGGATGCGTCCTTTAAGGGGAGATTGACCAGAACTATATTCTCTGGAGTTTAGAAGAATCAACAGTGTGAAATGAACCGTCTGAAGGAGTCCTAGAAAGGGTAGATGCTGGGAAAATGTCTCTGTGGCCACAGAGATACCTTCGAATAAGTGGTTGGCCGTTTAAAGCTGAGATCAGGAGTCATTTGAAATTCAGAGTGTTGAATCTTTGGAATTCTCTACCACAGAAAGTATGTTCAAATCTCAGGATACATTCTGGGGGATAAAATGCATTAGAGAACAGGCAACGGGAAGAAGGAGCTGAGATGTATGTCAACCTTTTCTTAATTTGTTCATGGGACGTGGGCATCGCTGGCCGGACCAATATTTATTGCCCGTCCCGAATTGCCCTGGAGTAGTTGGTGGTAAGTTGCCTTCTTGAACCACTGCAGTCCACGTGTGTGTGAGGTTATCCACGATGCTGTTAGAGAGAGAGTTCCTCATGCAAGTGGCATCTGCCACTCTAGTCCTTCTCAAGGATAGAGTCATGGTTTGAAAGGCACAGTCAGAGAAGGTTTCTTGAAGGCTTGAGGGGCCATATAGTCCAGCCCAGATCCCTTGGAATCCAACAATGTACTTACTAAGTTACCACCGTCATTTCTTTTTGACCAACATGTTGACGTTTGACCTGTTGCATTAGCCATGAATTGGACACTTTCTCACTTCTCCGTTCCCCGCATTGTCTGCAGGTCTTCAGCATCAGGGGATCTTCCGAGTGCCTGGATCACAGGCTGAAGTCAATGATATCAAAAATTCATTTGAGCGAGGTGAGTAATTGCAAACGATTAACTGTGAGGCAGAGCTGGAACAACTAAGTGTCCGTATCCCATTTGCATTTATTCTGGCCTTGCAATATGTTACAGCCTTCTGATAAGACGTGTCTCTTGCCTGTGATGCTTTAGGAAGATAATTGCTTTTGTAATGACTCCTGTGCCTGGGAATAGTTTGCCAATTTGATTAATGTGGCTAGTAAGTCAGTGCTTGAATTTTTAAGGATCCTTTCTCATTTTGACAAGTTGCAGTGGTGGGGGGAGAGTGTTGTACCTTTGGAAGACACAGTGCTGTATAAGTTTCCCAGTCATTTGTGGTTGTCAGTGAGGCAGTGTTCATTCTGGAGTGTCTGGATTAAAGCTGATTTTTCTTGAAGACCATAAGCTAATCAGATGCACTTTATGAATCAAAAGAGCAGCTGGGTCACTTTTTTAAGCTGTTTCATCCCAAGTAGGGTCAGCTCAATCACCCACATTGTACCCCACCTAGTTCATCTTCCCATTGCCTACAGCTTACTTTGGGTTACTATTTAGATGAGTCTGTTGCCATTGGAATCTCTGAAAAAGAGCCTAGGCCTTTATAGCCCCCAGAGACCAAATGGATCCATTTTCCTCTTTGTCATCGTAAAAAATAATCTAATTATTATAAACAAAACTCATTTCTCAAAAAAGTGGCAAAACTGGTTAATATCTAGGCTATAATCTGACACTAGAACTATACCCTGTATTGATCACAACACAAGCACACTCTCACAACATAAAAGACAACAAACTGCAGAGATGATACTTTGAAAAAGGACAAAATACAAATGCCTTTATTGTCCAATGGTCTAAAAACCAAAAGGTGAAATTTGATGAAATTTTCAATTCGCCGAGTTTCTTATTAATGAAATCAAAAAGCTCAAGAAGGTTTTTGGTTTCATCAACCTGTTCATAAAGCTGCAGGCAAAGACTAACTAAAAACCGCAAGAACTGCGAATGCTGTAAATCAGGAACAAAAACAAAAT